GTTTATCCTTCCCGTCACCCCTGCTCACTCCTACACATATTCCTCATTTGTCAGTTTCAGTATCTATCTTTCAGGCTGTGGTTTCAATACCCATTTTTGTGGCTGCAAATTAGAATCACTTTGTCATTTTACCAGAACCTCTGCAGATGGGGCCTGGGTATTGTCAGTGTCAAAGTCTCCCCAGATGATTCGATCTGCCTCTAAGCCTGAGAACTTCTGATTTAGGAGAATTTAGGTTTTTGTTCAAGCAGACCAAAAGTCTCTGCCTGTATCTAATTTATCATTTTATTTCTAATACATAACCGCATGAGGCATATCTTGGGAACAATATGTTTGATGAATAAATAAACAGATATTCTGAAATACATTTGTGATTTTTCTCAAAGGCTAGAGGCTATGATTCTTGTTCACTAAATCCAATTGACTAGCAACTTTAAACAAATACATGCCAAGCATGCTCATATCCAATTATAAAATTTTAGGGTTTGACATTCCTGGTTGCTCTACTTTTAAAATTTCAAGGTATTTACCTACTTGTATATTCATTGTAGGAAAACAGAAAATAACCAAAACAAAGTAACTAAAAAACATCTGCACTTATACCACCCAGAAATAACCAGTGTTCTCACATATAGTAAATTGAATCACACCTTATTTTTTCAGCAATATATTGCATGAAATCCTTGTTTTATTAAAACATAAATTATAGGCAAGTCAGTTAATGTTAGGGAGTTTAAAACTTAAATGGAAAGGTTCCCTTCAAGGACCCTAAGAATTTTCTAACATTCAGTTACAACACTCCTGTGCTCTGCGCATGGTCAAATCCTAAATAACATTTGTGTTTGAAAGAATGAACTTTTGGAGACTGAAATAGAAAGTTACTCTCCAGGGACCACATCTAGGGACAAAAAAAGAATTTTAACACAATGACATTTCCTGATTATTTTGAATCTTAAACTCATAACATTCTTTTCAATCTACGCTTTTTTTTTATTTTGACATTTTATATGACTAATGTTTATCAGCCACTTTTTGTTAGGCACTGAGCTAGACACTTTACAGTAATTATTGTGCTTACTGCTCTCAACAGAACCATTAAATAGGTATTACAAACCCTAGGTTATAAGTCAAGGAAACTGAGACCTAGATAAAGTCATTTGGGGGTTCTGCAGTTAGTAAGTGACAGAGCTGGGCTTAATGGATAAACAGTTTATTCCCTGACCACAGTGTTCTGCTGTTCAGCAACACTTAAAAAGAGGTTTGACAAAACTGTTCTTACTAAAACCTGTACTCATAAACTCCCATTATTAAGTTATTACAGAATTTTACTGGCCTCAAATTTATGGTTTAAAATCCCCATTTTCCTTCTGGAGGAGATTAAGAATTTACCCTGGTCCAGTGCACACCATTTCTCTTGGTCTTTTGATTTCCTAAAGATTTTCAGGGGCAATTTTTCAGCCACCATTTGTTAAGTTAGACCCCCTCATGCTTTACAGTTACACAATCTGTTGCTGACCTCCATGCAGAATTGAGGGGTCCACTTAAATCGTAGGACAACATAGCTGTTCTTAACAAATCCATTAACTGGTAGATATATTGTGTCCAGAGCACACAGATCTCTTCTCAATGAACAGCAGAGATTACCTCATTTATCTCAGTTTAGATCCATTTTCTATACGTATGGGTTCCTGTCCAAAGCCTGACAAAGAAAAATCATATTCAGGGCTGGTTGTTTATGAGACATGAATGGTTATACATTCCTTAAACTTTCTCCTACCAGGTCAAATCATCAGAAAGCAGCATCCCTGAAGGTCATTATGCTGACTTTCCATACAGATCATTTTATGGAAGTACAGCTTGAATTATGCCATCAGCTTGCATCAAGGTGGCTATTACAAATGGCTGTGTGCAGTATGCCTACTACTATGGAAGACATGCATTGTGTACGTCAATGCTTCTTATATAATAAAGACAGTCTTGCCAATGAGTTTCAGCCCAGGCAAGTTTGTTATGGATTCAGTGTGACCAAAGAAAATAACAGCAAAATGTTCTTGGGGTGAAAGGGTTATACCCAGCTTTATTTCCAGGTGACAGGTCAGTCACTAAAATCCCGTTCACTCAGAGCGAGTCTGCAGGCAGCAAGCCAGTATCTGCCTCTGAGCCCCTCTGTCTGCACAGCCGTCCTCCGGCCTCTCTGCACAGTCCTCCCGCACAGCTGTCCTCTGGGCCTCGGTCCTTGGCGCTGCTATCACTCCAGCCTCTGCTCTGCTCTCCTGCAGCCTTGCAGCCCTGCCACTGTGTCGCACGCAGAGCACTGGGCGGAGCTCTTTATATAGAGTCAATACCCATGTATTGCCCACAGGTGTGCAGTGAGCTAGACAACCAGGGTCAGGTGAGAATCCTGGCCACAGGAACTCTCATTTCCACAAAGACTAATGTGGTAAATTCCTCCCAGAGTTCAGAGCCAAAAACATTGGTCTCTTCTGACATACCACTGTGCTCCCTTTCTTTATTAGGTGATGAAGACTGCAGTACTCCAATATAATTATCTTTTGGCCCTGACTCCTTAGTTGTTAGGAAATAGATAGCTAAATATTCTACTCAGTTGCTGTATATTCCTGGAATATAGGTTTGCTGGTATAATTACCTGCTCAGTTTTCTTCATTACAAACCTTGTGTTTCCAATCCCTCCCTCCCTCTCCTTTCAGTTTTGTGAATAAAAGACATTTCTATCAGCCAGGAAGTTCCAAGGGATTTAGGAGCTCATGTCAGGAACCAGAATTAAAGATCAAGTATTAGAAAAAGGTGCTCCCACTGCTCTTCTCTCTTAGGAAATTACAAGCATTTCAGTAGCTCTGAACTGGGGGCACAGACCAATGTATGTTTTCTGTTACTTTATAATACCAAAAACAGACAAGGATAGTACAAAAAGAGAAATTTATAGACCAATATCTCTTATGAGCATAGACATGAAAATCGTTAAAAAAATAATAGAATTTAGCAATATGTAAAAATTATTACATACTATGACCAAGGGGGGTTTATTTAATATATTCAAGGATGGTTCATGTAATCCACATTAAGAGGCCAAAGAAAAAATGTCACATGATCATATCAGTTGATGCAGAATTAGTATCTGACAAAATTCAACATCATTTATGGTAAAGTCTCTCAGTAAGTTAAGAACAGAGGGAAATAGCCTCAGTTCCAAAAAGAACATGTGTAGCCAATATCATACTGGTGGAAAAGTCTAAATGCTTCCTCCAAAGACTGGGGATAAAGGCAAGGATATCCATTCCCCTCACTGCCAAGAAAAGGAAATATAAAGTATACAGATCAGAACGGAAGAATAAAACCCTCTCTTCTTAAATGACATGACTCTTTATAGAGAGAAATCCTAAGAACTCTAAAAAATAAACCCTCCTAAAACTAAGTGAATTCAGCAATTTTGTAGGTTTCCAGATCAACATACAAAATAAATCACATTTCTATACATTAGCAATGAACACATGAAGCTGAAAATTAGAAATACAATACCATGTGCAAATGCTAAAAAAAAAAATAATAAAACTGCTAGAAGCTGTAAATGATGTTGAAAGAAACTAAAGAAGAACTAACTATATGGTAAGACATACTCTATTTGAAGGGCCCCCACCAGTAAGATGGCAAACTTCCGGCTCCTCTTCCGGGTCCTTGGTTCCCTACGGCACCACCTGAAGACCAATCACCTCTCTCCCCCCTCCCACTCCCAGCACCTAGCCAATAGCCACCAGCCCCGTAGAAGTAACACCACAATCACCCCATGCCCCTTCCTATATAACCCAGCACCTTTTCCTAATAAAGCGGAACTCTCCGGTGAATTGCTGCTGTGTGTTGCTCCTTTCCTTTCACTATTCAGAGATTGGAAGGTTCAACATAATAAAGATGACTCTTTCTACCAAATCCCAGCAAGACTATTGTAGATACAGACAAGATCATTGTAAAATTTAGATGAAAAGGCACAGGCCCAAGAATGTGTCAAATAATTTTGAAAAAAGGAGAATAAAGGGGAAATCACTATACCTGACTTTAAGATTTATGTAACTAATTATGTAACATTGACCTATATGTCTATCTGTATTCCAACATCCCACACTCTTGAATACAAGATTTATATAACTATGGTTTAACTATGGTTTGTATATTTAGGTTTTTAAGAAATTGCCACATTACTTTTTAGAAAGACTGTGCCATTTTACATTTCCATCAGCCATGTGTGAGAGATCGACAATCAGACTTCTTGGCACTTTTCTGAGAAATGAAAACGTATGTCCAAACAAAAACCTAGACATGATTTTTCATAGCAGCTTCACTAATAATAGCCTCAAACTGGAAACAACCAAAAGCCCTACAGCTGGTGAATGGTCAGCATACTATGTATTTCCTCAGCAATAAAAAGGAACAAGTACTGATAAACTTGCAGATTGGATATATCTGAATGGCATTATGCTGAGTGGGGAAAAAATCAATATGGAAAGGTTTTCTACTGCCTGATTCCATTTATATATATACCTTTTGTCAAAAGCAGAGAGATGGAGAACAGATCACTGATTGCCGGGGCTTAGAAATGGTTAAGGAAAGGCTGGAAATGACTCCAGAGGAGTAGCAGGAGGGACATCTTTGTAGTGATGGAATAGCTCTCCACCATGATTTGGGTGGTGGTTACAGGAATCTACACTGGGGATAAAATGGCACAGACATACACACACTTTGCACCTAGTCAGATTCCTGATTTTGTATTGTACCATGATTAAGTAAGACATAATGGGAGAAACTAGGTGAAAGATACAATTTTCTGTGTGCTATAATTATTTTTGAAAATATAGAAACAATGAAAGTAAATCCTATTTTTCCTTGGGTAGCTATGACCCTGTGGAAAAGCCCAACATTCAAATTTACACATAAGCAAGACCTGGGGCAAGAGAAAGGCGGCAGGGAGTGGGCAGCCAGGGAGGTGTTTCCCGCGCGCTGCGGGCGGGAGGCGGCGTCCGCACGGCCGACTTGCAGCCCCCGCCCTTGTTTTCCGTGCGCCGCGGGAGGCTGCAGAGCCAGAGGCGCCGGACCCTCGCGCGGCGCCCGGGCGTCCCCGACGGCCGCCTAAAGCCCTCGCCTTAGGGAGGAGCAGGGAAGAACTTTCTTTGAACCGCGAACATTTTTTGGTCATTGGGGCGGTCTCGCATGCTTGGGTTTCCCGCCTTTTGATTGCGGGTTTGATCTGCGCCGCTCTCCTCATTCCTCAGCTCCCTGAGCGCAGCCGGGAGCCCTCGCGCGCGCGAGTGCGGGCAGAAGCTGTCCGGCGCCGGGGGCTCGGGGGGCGCGCGGCATGCAGTCTCTCAACATCTCCCGGGAGCAGTTCTCCCGGCTTCTGCGGGACCACAACCTGACGCGGGAGCAGTTCATCGCGCTCTACCGGCTGCGGCCGCTCGTCTACACCCCCGAGCTACCCGGGCGAGCCAAACTGGCCTTCGTGCTCACCGGCGTGCTCATCTTCGCCCTGGCTCTCTTTGGCAACGCGCTGGTGGTCTACGTAGTGACCCGCAGCAAGGCCATGCGCACCGTCACCAACATCTTCATCTGCTCCTTGGCACTCAGCGACCTGCTCATCGCCTTCTTCTGTATCCCGGTCACTATACTCCAGAACATCTCTGACACCTGGCTGGGGGGTGAGTCCGAGCCGCTTTTTCTCCCTTAATCCCCAGGTTCCGGGGGACCCTCCTCCCCGCCTCAGCCCCCCCACATTCACACCCTCTCTTCCTACTTCCTCACCTGGTGCTCTCTACCGAATGAATCCAGTGCCCTTTCTTAGAACTTCCTCACTTGCCCCCATTTGGAGATAAGTTTTTTTGCCACTTTTGATTCCATCCAGCGTCTGTTCTTGTAGTTTAGAGATGGAGTTTAGGGAAACGCTTAGGAAAGGCAGTAAGGTTAGGAGTCCACGCGTCTCCAGTTATTTCGGCTCCCTTTTCCTTAATTACCAGGATTCTTCCTATTTTTAAAAAATAAAAGTACGATAAAGTATTTGAAATAACAACCCCCAGATCACTTCAATCCCTCAACCTCCATGCTCCCTCCCCAGTTGCCTGAGTGGCTTCCAGACAGGTATTTGTTCTCCAAGCAATATATGTGGACTTAAAACTTTTTAAAAAGAAATATAATAAATACATTTGCAGGGAAAAAAAACCTTAGACGAGTCCTTCCTTTTAAAAACTGGATTAACAGATTTACAGCAGAGTAAAGGAACACAGAAAACATAACTCATTCATAAAGGAGAAGAGATTTAATTTCTCCTCCTTCCTAAAGGGGAGTGGAAATGGCAGAGAAGCCATTCAGAGTCACTGAGTTGGGAACAGTGGCGGTGAGCTGTATTCTCACCAGTGCTTATGGTGTACGGTCGGGGAGGAAGCACTGGCTGTATCCCCATTGTCATGGGAGGCTGTATTTTTGTGATCACATCAAAATTCTTAGAAAGTGGTTGGAATTATATAAAGAATGTGAGAGAAATGGGTCATTATGCTGTCAACCCTGTCATTTCCACCCCTTTGCTAATTCCTTTTAATTTCATGGAGGGTGTTTCTTTCATGCCACTATTACCAACTTGAGATCTTCAATTTATTTCACTGGCATTGCTTTTTTCCCCCTCTAATTTGCACTGGGTTTATTGTTAGTGGATCAACGATGCTAAAATCTTTGATTGCCGTCTCATCTGTAGAGCAAATATTTCCAAAAATGCGTTACACTTTAGAGTACGTGGAATTAGCCTGAAAGTGACACATAATACAGAAAGTTATGAGTTGATTTATATAGATGATAGACTTTTGTATGTGCTCTAAGGACACCATTGCACTTGGGTATTTTAAAGTTGCCCAGTGCAACTAGCTCCATAAAATTAATGGGAAGACTTTTGATTATCATATATAACTTATTTTTGGAGAAAAAGGCACAGGAGTTTTCATACCCAAATTCTTGTGAAGACAGACTTATGAAGCCTATTTGTATTGCTGCATGATTGTAGCTCCATTCCTAAAGATGAACATAAATAGCTAAGCAAGTGGGATTGTATACTGGGAATCAAAAGACCTGGGTTACTATTTTGGCTCTAACACATGTTAATCCAGCCTGTCTGGTTCTCAGTTTTTCAATAAATATTAGGAATTCTAGAAGGCTGGAAGTGGAATAAGGCAGCTGTTAGCCTCTTGCTGTATTGCAGAAGGATGTGTGGGGAAGCCTGAACATTCACCATCCCTCCTGAGGACTTAGGTGGACACTGCAAAGGTTTTTATCAAACTGTTTTCCTTACTTCCAGTTCATGGAGGACATTTCATTTCAGTTTCTAAATGCTGAAAAAGGGTAATACATTGCTGAAGTATTTTACAGGGTTCGTTTAAGAATCAAGTGTATTAGTAAAAGTGCTTTGAAAAAAATTGATCATTCCATGTAGGGTATTAATTCTGTTAGGAAGTGTTTCATTGGAGGTGGCATATGTTTGTCTGGGACCAGCTTTATAGAATAAATATACTTATAAATCAAGTAAGCAACACCAAAATGGAAGTTCAGGGGTAAGGAAAGAGCTTGCAGAGGTAGTGGAGATGCAAAGCAAATTAACTTGTCCTTAATAGGATAGGATGATAATTGCAAAATTCCCTTGACAAATTAACAAAAGAGTTCAAAGGCATGTAATCTAAGAGTAGAAAATTAAGTCACAATTTATTATTTCTTGAAGCTATTGAGGATGCCAATCATGGTAAAGCCATTGGTAATACGAGATGAATAAAGCTCATCCATGCTTTTGTGGACCTCAGAGAACAGAAATACCCCAAAACGTGCACAAATAGAATTTGATAGAAGAGTGTCTCCTTTGCTACGGGAGCATGAAAGAGTCAGGAAGGCTTCAACAGGGTGGAATGTTTGAGCTGGAACTTGAAAAATAAGTTAGACTGTTTTCAGCAGAGAAAGAAAGATGGAGTATGTTCTAGGGGTCAACCCAAAGTCTGGAGGAGAGAAAAAAGGTAATTCCAAGAACACTACACTGTAAGGCATTTGAAGATTATAGTTTGTATGTGGGGAATGGTAGGAAATGAGATAGAAAGGTAAATTAATGCAACTGGGGAGGAAAAGTATATTAAAATTTTTATAAAACCTAAAATATGAATACTCAAATTCTTTAACCGGTCAAGTAGGAAGCAAACACTAGGAGGCAACAGTGGCAGAAGGAAGACTGTGCCTCCTTGAACGGGAAGATCGCCGCAGGCAGGGGTGTGCCCGGTGCTGTTGCATCTTTTTTTGCTGCTGTAGTTATTGCTTTGTTATTATTTTATTTTCAGAGAAGCTGGGAATACAGATTTTTATTATATTGGCATTTAAATCAAATTTAGAAAGTTAAATGCAATTGAGTGAACAAAAACCTCTTTGGGTTTGGCGAAAAATAATTCATGAACTTCCAGTTTGTAACTTCTCTACAAAGCCTTTCTCTCAAACGTTTCTGGCAATGACTGTTTTTTTTTCTTCTTCTTTTAGTTCACTCATCTCCCTTGCTAGGCACCAAAGCACCTACTGGGTCCGAGCCTACAATTTGACAAGATCCTCAGGTGACTGATACGCACATGAAGGTCTGAGAAGCACCACTTTAAGTAAAGGTTTTCAGACCTGGCTGCACAGAGAATCTCCTGAGGGGAGTTTTTCAATGATCTGTGCCAGCAGCCATCCAGACTAGTCACCTCTGCCTCTGGAGCCAGCTTATACTGACTAACAGGGTCCGTTGTACACATCTCTACCCAGTTCCTTATTCAGGAACATCAGGTTGTTGGCTTGAAATCTGTCGTGGTGGGAGTATTTACACGGTGATAATCTGCAACTACAAATTAGGCCTTAAAACATACACCCACTCAGTTGCTTTCCAGTATACCACTGAGGAAGGACACTGAGTTTCCTTTTGTACAGTGATGACACCATAAATGACAGATGAGACCAAATGTATCCATAACATTTAGTTTATGTACCTGAATTATTCTCAAGTCAGGAGACACAACTGGTCCCTGGCATCCAAGTGCTGGCCAGCATAGAGACAATCTGGTGCTCCATCCTCTGCATGCCTTTCATGCCATCCCAGCATCAACTGTCTTTGATCTGCCAATGGACTCACTCTCACATTACTCCCTAGAACGTCTTCCGACATGGAGCTAGCTGGAGTGGAGATTCTCTTCCTCCAAGAAGAACACGGAGCATCTGCTTATGATTTTTACCACTAATGTGAGGATGGAGTTGTGTTGCCATAACAATTAGGAGTCAGGTCTTGGAAGTTCTGTCTTTGTTCTACTCTTTGATCTTTTTGGTCTTATATCAGTAATAAACTTGTTCATTGCACTCTTGGACCCATGGAATCTACCCCTCCTAATCTTCATCTTGCTTCTCCTCATTTTGTCCCTTTCTTCCTTCTCCTTTCACTTCTTTCTTCAAAATATCTCAGTGTTCCTCCAGATTCACTGGCTGAGTATGTTTTGTATATTCCGGCTCAATTCAGCACAGTAGGTTTTGTTTCTGAACAATGCCCCAGAACTTTTTGTTCTCTTCTCCAGGTTTCCATAAACTTCTTTCCTTCTTTCTTAAAGTTCTCCCTTTGGATGGTTCTCACATTTCCTCTTATTTTTTGAGTGTGTCCACTGAAGCTTAGTATACAAACTCTTTTCTTTCATCATTCATTTCTGATGGAACAGTCAGGACTCTCCTTTCTTTGCTGTTGATTCTGAAACCAGTATCTAATCATTATCTTAAGCCATAGTCTCTCATCTGATCTGAAGGCCAGGTGTTACACATCGGCATCTTATCAGCATCCAACAATCTCTCATCCTAGCTTGTCCCTCTTTCAGGGTCTGAACTATTATTAATAGTACTATGAGTCATTCTTGTCTTCAGCATTTCCGTGGGGATGTGCAGTGCACAATGGGTACCAAAGTTGTTGAGAGAGCTGTGTCCTTGTGGAATAACCAGGCTTTAGTTAGAACAAGAAGGGTGAGGGCAACATTCAAAGAAAAGTTGGAGAATGCAGGGGTTTCTGTTGCTCTCAGGGTTCCAGAGTGCACAGTAGAGAAAGCACAGTGGAAGTGTTGGGGTGGGGTGTTGTATCAGATTATGGGGTGTTCAGAGTCTGGATTGGGTCCAGGGGCAAGGGAGTCATGGTGACTGAGGTAATTGTAAACTGCAGGCTTGGGGATGATTAATTCTGAAGACCTGCCAGAAGGAGAAGGAAAATCAGTTTTAATTCTAGCCTCCTTTATGGCTCTCACTCAGCATTAATAAAGTGAGATGAGGAGTGCCTGAGGGAGGGCTGGAGTGATGGCCTTGCTGGGAGGCTACAGGCTCTGTGGCCACTTCAGTTTTGCTGGGGATGCATTAACAGCTAGGCAAAAGGATGGTCTCCCCAGGGACCCTCAGAGTTGTGTGGCTTTTGCTGTTGTGGGCAGTGAAAAGAATCTTCTAATGGTGACTGGCAAAGTGACTAAAAACAATTCCTAAAAAGGGGCTCCAAAAACACACTGAGTGATGGCAGCACACTGGGAAATGTGCACATTCACCTATACTCAGTCACTGCATGCAAAGACTACTCGGTTGGGTGAAGAAAGGTAAACATTAATTTTCTCAGCAGCTGATCTGAAAATTACTCTAAGAG